AAAAGTACAATTTACCTAAACATTGAAAAGGTTGAAGTAGTTTTAGATGGTTTCAAAACGGAAATGGCAAATTAAATGCAATTTGAATAAATTCTTTCTCAATAGTATGTGAAAAACACTGAAAAATATACTAAAACAAACTAGATAGAACTATGCGACCTTAGCTATTACTTGAATCGTCTTATCAAGGAACAATTCATCTTCAGAAGTTCTTAGGGGAAAACTTAAAAAAAAATTGAATCGTATGCTTCATTGAGAGACTGTTCATATTCCCGAAATGGAGTGACAGATGAAATGTAAATTTCAGTGAAAAATTCTTACTTAACTTAACATAATAATAATAAAAAAAATAACCACAATTGATTAAAAGAATGTTTAAACATAAGTGAAATGGAATGAAAAATCAAATGCAAATATCAGCCTAACTAATGTGTAACTTGAGTAGGTCTACATAGTGTATTGATCATGAGTCATTAATGTTATGTACGCTATGACGTAATGTGTGTCATCATATTGAACACAATTAAGTTTGTAACTCATCAAATATACGTAACACTTGGAAACAAGAGTTTTTGACAGTGATAGTATAATACTGTTATATAAATAATAAAATGTGAAGTTTTCGTCGTTTTATTGACACAACAGCAATTAAATAGATAAATTATAGTTCGGATATAAGAAATGTATACATACATTTTTTTACTAGTTAGTTGCTAGTAATAAACGTAATTCACATGTTATGCATTATTATTCAAATAGTTCCCCAACAGCTAAGAACAAACACGTCCAATACAGGAGAAGGATGTTTGCGATAATGTAACAGGTGGCAGGAACGTCGAGCGAGTCTTCCTTCACGAGTTAACAACTAAAGTGATGCTAGCGATCTGTCACGTAGTACGGCACACAAAGTTGTAAACAAATACTAGTTAGTTTACAGCCCGAGCTGTACAATGTTGCTATTCTCTCTCTGATAATCTTGGACATTGTTTAGCTGATTTGGCAATCTATTTATTATTTATTTTTAATAATGTATTTTTTATATTTTGTAATAATTTTTCATCTATTGGCATTTTTATTTTTATTTATTAGGAAACAGTCCAAACCATAGGTATCAAGAATGTAAATTTGAATAATAATATTCAACTAACTTGAGGAATGTTTTACAAATCAGGAGGGTAGTTTTGCCCTTTTCTCAAAGATTAAAATTTTTAAATATTTGTAAACACGTTATGCAGCTTCAATGCAAAGACTTGAAAAATAAGGAGATCCAGTAAAAAAAAAAAAAAAAAAAACATCGAAATAGCGAAACGTTGGTATATCTAAGTGTCAAAAAATCCATTTTAACAATAAAAGTAATACCTTATTCAATTGCATCCAAATTATGTAATTTACAATTCTTGATCACACACTTCTCGTAAAACATCACAAACGTCATTACGAACTTTCAAAACAATTGTGGGTTTGTGCAGCACAATGGTTAACACCATACTGATGTACACTACGCACACTATCGCCGGCACCGCGCAGTCTACTGAGCTACCGCGCAGGTTGTCTACCGCCTCCGCACACTGCGCATGCGCAAACGATCGGGATTTCTCTTTTCCACTTTTCGTTCCGGGAAAACTGACCAGAGTCAATAAGTAGACGGTGAACGATCTCACGTCACTGACCACTGTCATTACGACTGTAAACAATATGGTTGACGACTGTGGGGACTTTTGTCTTAAAATACACGTTTTGTAATACTAAACTATATTAAGGACGGGGTTTTTTTTATTATTTACGTAAACGAATAGTATATTATGTGTAGTTGGTCTAGCTTAGGTTCTTTCAAAATCTAAAGGTACCTACACAGAATTTGGTTCTCTTACATAAGGCATTTTTAGTATAAAGTTATCACATATTTAAAAGGGATATCAGGAACTATGTAGCTTAAGTGTACCTTAAGTATTGAATTTGGTACAGGAAAAATATATGTTTGGTCGACAGTTGTTGTTAAACATTTAGTTTCAAACTAGATGAGATTCGAATTAATTCTTGTGTTCACAATTTTAACTTGTCATATTTCCATGTATAAAAAAAACTCAAATTTAAATAATGCATTTAGCTATACAGTATATTGAAATATTTTCATTTTATCATTGCCTCACATTGTTTTATCTGCAAAGTTATAGTTATTTCTTAAACAAAATAATCTCTTAGTAATTACAAAATAATGGATTGACTATTTCAACTATGGAGACGACACATAAATCAAATTCGTAATTTATAAGCCTGAAGAATTTATTTGCCAAATTCACAGTAGGCCTAACTCAAGATCAATGTTGTGGGGGAAGAATTGTACTGTCTTTAGTTACCTCGTTAATATTCTTTGAATATTTATCTGCTTAGTTATTTGTTTGTTTTAGTTTTGATAAATTTGATTAAGACAATGCCCCCCCTCCCGGGTTACTTAAGTAGGGCTTTCCTAAACTGAGAGGCGAAAATAAAATTAAGTTAACATACTCGTCCATGTAATGGGGCGCCAGAACCCTTGTAAGATTGATGGCTCACAGAGGTGTCATTAACGCGGGTTTGACAGCCGGCCAGGTTTACAATTTTGGCGGGTAACTCTCGCTCTCCGACAGGTATTGCTCATAAAATAACTTATAGCCAAAATTAACAAAGAATTAAGTTTGAAAATTTAACGAATAAATATACCATCATTATATTTTAGGTTTTGGTTATTTAATTTTTTTTTTCTTTTAACCTTGCATTTGCCCGTCCACATAGACTAAGCGCCCGTGCGTGGAACGTTTGCAGCAAAGCAAGGAGTGAGCCGGTACAGTACAAAGGTGAACTGTACTTATATTATAACATGTTATCGGCAGTGACCAGGATCCGAACCCACGACATCGCTGCCTTGGGCCCGAAGTCCGCGACGCTACCGGCTGAGCCACCGACTCACTAAAGACTTTCATTTAAGAAAATGAAGACCAATTATCAAAATTCTGTTAACATTTTAAATTATTGACATAGGTTGGGTTCAAAATTTAATATTGTTTCGACATGTCATACTTTCTGAGGTACAACGATGGCAAAATAAAGTCGTTCACCTTGTATTTAACAATTGATATTTTATATCAGAAAACTCTCTATTTCAGTAAAATATACCGCCTATAGACCTGTGGTAAGTAACCAAACAGAAAATTTAAATTCGGCCCAAAGCAAAAATCAGTGTCCTATGAATTAGGTAAGACCATAGACAAATTCAAACACGTGTATTTTTGTGACACCAACCATGACTTTCAATCAAATAAAAAGGTTAGAGTACAAATTTTTAGAACACATAGCAAGGCGATCTTATCAGATAAATGGTTTCCTGATTCAAACGTACTAAAGGCTTGGCATTACATGATCGGTATAGTTTCCAATGTTAATTGCAAATGAATAATTGATACAACGAGAGTAAGGAGTGTCCGGACATCCTACGAAGCAGGAACACTTCCTACACAGAACACGTCAACACGTACACACAACACGAGATACAACAAACAGGGCATGACGGGTAATTCGGTAATTGTATTGTATCGTGACGTCACTGTTCGCAGTCTACTTGTGGTGTGTCAGTCCAAGCATAGATAAAAGGAGTATACTCCTTTTATCTATGGTCCAAGTATAAATATGATCAATGATTCGAGAACTTGATAAATACGAATTCGTTTTAATAACAGTATGTTCTGAACTTAGCCATCCTAAATATCAACTCACTTGTAATAGATTTATAAGCCAGAAGTAGAATTTAATCCAGGCAATATAAGACAATATAAATAATTAATTTCCTCTTTGAAAATCGGTAAATTATTTCTCAGTGGTAAACTTACAGCGAAGTGCTATTATTGTTTAACAAATACTAACTTGACCATATAAACAATCAAGAAGTTACCTACTCAAAATGCGTTTAAATGCATAAATCTTCTGGACCTCAGGATTCAACTTTTGTTCTAGATTATATATTTTTCCACGTCATTGGACAAAAAAGATTGTTTCAGTCGACAGGGTTTGGATTTTTCCCTACCTAGAGTTAAAAGCGTGGAAACGGTCTTTAACACGAAATAAACAATTTAAAATTCAAAAGTTGATACAACAAATTTTCTTATTGATCTATAAGCAAGAATTACGTTTCTCTGGTTCAACAAAGCCCAAGATGGCGGCCAACGATTGGTAGGAACACAAACTCCGAATGGCGTGCAAATCCCGGGTATTATGCAGGCTCACAGTTGATATAGGGGTTTAATCCATTGCTAAATTACCCGAAATGTTCAGCAAATTCCTTCATTAGTCCTAAAGCTGGTTACATAAATCAATATCTCCCCAATATAAATGGTTGATTTTGTTATACATTAGTAACATACAAAAGATAAATACAAATTTTGATAAAAGTAAAATCGCACTTTTTTGAAACGGTAAATGTAATGAAATTATTGATACCGGTAAAGCAATTAAAATCCGTTTAAATCGTTGACTTTCATACAAGGCACTGCAAAATTTTCACAATGACGGGATTGTTAGTTTATTTATCAGTTAACAAATATATACAGTATGTAGAATATACACAGGCTCAAACCCACATAACATCCATTCAAACATACCTAGCTTAAACGCTAAGTTGTATAGCAATTTCAATTGAGCGTTGAATCACTTGGTTAACAAATATTTTCCTTTCAAAGCACCTCTTGATTTTTCGCCCGGTCTTCATACTTTGAGAGAAGCCGGATTATAGTTTAGAGCCCTGGGTTTAGTTAAATGGCAGATATATTTCTTAGTTGTATAGACTTACTTTAAGATGAATTATCACAGGTGCATTGTACTTATGCACTTGTAATACGTGAATGATCTCTACTGGCTCGCTGGAAAAGAAATTCGATAGACATATACTATTAATTAACCTATTTAATGAGTCTTGAATAAATACTCTATATTGAATACAGAGTATTGTATGGGAAAGTTGTGTCTCTTACCTTCGTACATCTGCGCATACTGAGGGAATCCCGCCGCTCTCAGCCACTTGCAGGCTTCTGCAGCTTCGATTTCTGGAATAAAAAATATAATTGAATCATCAGCACATATACAATTTTTTTAATTGTATTTTTTTCTATTCCATGTAAATGGACTCGCCAAAGTTGCCACCAATTCTGAACCACGCTGGTGCACCTATTTCAGTTAGGCAGTCCAAATTTGATGTAAAATACAATGATTACAAAACTATGTTAACGCTTTAAATATCTAACTTACAAATGCTTTCTTTGAAAAATGTATTTTAACATTCTGCTTCTCATACAAGCTAATTAAAATGCTTAGGTATGCCTGCCTTCAAGAGTTCGATGTTTTCTCTCTACCTTTTATCAGCGTAAATTAAGCTCTGTTATGTTTCTACTTGTATTGTTTTCTATTGTAAAAGAAAAATGTTATAACTTCTTAAAATATTCGTATGTTCTATTTTGATTATTTACCATTTAAAAAGAATAAGTTATTGCTGGGTGTCATAAATTCAATGAACCTTTTCCTATTTCATACAACAGGAACCCAGGTATCAAAAATAAATTGATCCCCATAGTGTGCTACTCAAAACCATCGCTTATATTAAACACTGATGCCGAAATCGGTTAAAAGTTCTGAGTGAGTAATGCAATTAAAATACATTTTTGAAGGGTTCACCCACGCTGAAAGTATTTTGTGGCCGATCAATTTGGGGAATACATCTGAAATTCAAATGTGACAAGCCGACTCTGTTAATAGCCTCGTCGTCCAAACGAGTTTATTATCAAGGCTTGACCACTCTCGACCGAAATACACTCGTATTGTGTGTAACGCAATACAATGTATTCGGCGAAATAAACTGTTACTCTCGATGATTTACACCAGTTGCAGTAATCTAGAAACAAAATCGTGTTTGAAATACTTTTGATGTTTAATGTATGTGTACAACTCTAAAAAAATATTCTAATGGAGTTTGACATCAAATCCTGTGTATGATATCGGGAAAATGTTGTGACATACTTCTGTATACCGTAATAATCGAATAACCTCTAGGAATATTCAAATTAAATATGTACGGACACAAATTATGTTGGATTAAAGTGCACATTGTTCCCTACTTATGATAACAGAAGAATTTTGGCCGAAGCAATATAAGTGCCAACGACACTTAAACCTTTTAAATAGGTTGGAATGTCGGAGATGCTGCAGTTACAAAACTCTTTGTACTCGTAGAAAATGTTATACGTTTTGATGGTTGTTTATGTAATATGCTAATTAACTACTTTATTGATTGTTAAATCGAACTGAATTGAATTGAGCTTTGGTTTGGTGGCAATCATACGTATAAACTAAACATTAAAAAAAAACAATTTATATTTATATTCTTGGCAATATTGGTATGTCCCTGAACACATGTATTTCATATGGCATTCAGAGGTTTTTCCAAACTGCAATGTTATGGATTCAACTTTCGGTATCCATATTTGAAACAACCTAAAAAACTTCGTAATTTACCAACAATCTCCAAAATAAAATACAATTTTATTCGTGACGTCAAAAAAACTTCAAGAATTAAAAACAAATAGATCCTTATCTCTATTCCTCCCCTAACCATCAACCTCCTTGACCAACCCAAAGAACAAAACTAAAACGCATCACTCAGACCACGCGGACAATGCGGCTTACCGAGAAACACAGCAATTAAGACCGGAGTGACAATCTTTCAGTGACAATGATAAAAATCTCGACATGAACCGGATAATCTGGACTTTCATCCGGGAAAACCGGCGCAGACAAGAAGTCCTCGGGTAGATATGACGCGCATGCGCGATGCACTGCGGCTGCGCAGACGTGGGTCGCCTACAGAGCGACACCTGCGCTAGCAGACGACGCGGAGACTTGTAAGTTATGGCAAAAAGTCCAACGGGGATATTCCATTGATTCAACCTCCTTTGGTGGATTGGCGGCCATTAGGGAATTCAGCAATGCTGACGAGATTGCTTAGAAGAGATTGAGAAAGTAAACGAGGATTAATAATGTAAGTAATGCAGGTTTAATTAAAAAACTGTGGTAGGAATTCTTTGAATTATTGTAAAATTATTTCTCTGACTGTTTGACTCAAGTGGCTTGAAATGTGAGCCGGGTTATTAAGTGTCTAATGTGTTTTACATTATTTTCTACCAGGAGCTGTACATTGTTTTCCTCTTTTGTCACTAGATTCTAGCCCGGGATTGTTTATTACATTACTTTAGTCTATATCCAGAGGCTTGTAAATTGGACAAATCTGTTGGTCATTGGCGGGATTTGAACCTGGGTGACTGTTTCTTCAAGTGTCTGTTGGTTAAGTTATTCGCTGAACTGCGAAGAGTATTAAAATTTATCTTGGAGTGTTGTTTGACTTACGTAATTCTCGAAAGACTACATTTTAAAAGGAAGAAAAATATAGATAGGTACGTCATAAATACGTTAGCTGAATTTATGATTATAATTTTAGCTTAAGTAATAAATAGAACTACATTCTTCATCTAACATAAGATCTGTTTTTCATTTATTGGTCCAACTATTGTTACTTATCGAATCAACATAACTCATAAATATTACATGAATATCGTTAAGGAAATTAACTCATTGGGTAAGTTTTTTCACAATGCCTGGATCTGAACCAGGTGATTACAGCTAAGCCAAGATGCTGAGTGTATTTTGTTTATATTATTTAAGCAGTTGGCAAGCAAGGGGAAAATATTATACTTCTTGTGTTTTCCGAGTCTAAAGGGTTGTATGTTATATGAAACAGATGTGGCTTGTATCTTATGCAGTAGAGAAACGGATCTCCATAACAATTCTTTGGAGAAAATGTTTTCGTTGAAAATGTATGAATATCACGCACTCTAGGTAATGTTAAGCCCCTTAAAAAACCAATTATTTATACAATAAATTCACAAAACGAATTAATTGAAACATTTTTTAAATATAAATAAGTGCCAAAGAAGGCAACGTAATTACATTTTTGAAAGAAATGGGTTAATAAATTCACCATTTCTGATTAACATTTTATTTTCGTATAGGAAAAGGGAGGTCTATAACTTATGATTGCAGTTATGAAGCTATGATTGCAGTTTGAGCACAAAGATGTCAGTTGGGGGAGATTGAGAGCTAAAAGTATACAATGATTTTCTCTCTGGATTCAGAGTTTGTTTCATTCCATTCAATGCCTCTATGACAAAGGCAGAAGCTGCTTGGTTCATCGGACATTCTGGAGTGACTTCTTTGTTTATACCGAGTGACATCACAGATAATGAACTATTTTTATTTACTAGTTTCCTAGCTATTTGAAATCAAGCTTAGTTAAAGTGGGTAGCCAATGTTCAAAATATAAGTTGTAACGGTTATTAATTATTTTTATTTTATTTATTGAAATTTAGAAACATTGTTTTGATACTGGTCACTGAAATCTACTTCAATTTGACACGTTTTATTGTTGTTTTAAATAAATGTATTACTGTTCTGGAGTGAGTCATATAAGCTTATTAAAAGAGGTGTACTCTATTTCGTTATTATGGTACTTGTATTTTAAATACAAGATGAGCATAAGCATGATACGTAAATCCTTATTCTAATACTAATTATATAATTGACTATAGAACCTTATATATGTTATTGTCAGTAATTATGTACAAACATGTAAATTTAGGTACATAGTGCATCCTTCACTATGCAGACTCTTCTAAACGTTACCTAGAAATATTTCACGTGAATCTTTAATTATAGACTCCAATATTATTAAAATCTGTTATAAAAGAAAGAAAATGTTTTCAACCTTACTTAAAAATGAACCTTTGGGATTGAAATACAGTACATAAATACGTTTTTGTGTTGGAATCAGTGAAGTTGTTATCATTTTCAATGATATGATTGAATTACTGAATACAGTCTGTGTAGTAGTATCCACAAAGTATCAAGAAAGATCAAAAGTAATCTGTTTGAACTTCTTCTTATACATAAAACAATGTTTTGTATTTTTCAGATCCAAAATGCGTGTAATGTAGTTTGGGTTCAACATAAACTAGCTGCGGGCTATAAATGTGAACACCTCCTTACCACAATATCACCGCCGCAATAAAGCTAGAGTAACAATTTGCAAGTGTTTTTGCTTTACGACCCATCGAGAGGTTTGAATAAAACATCGCAACAAAGAAAAACATTTACAGCGTCCTCGTTGTTTATTTAACCGCATACGAACTGTTGTGGCAAACATATAACTGAGATAGGCAAATATATCTGCATTAAGCCAACATGGAAATGCATTTAAAATACGATGCTCGAAATTATGCTAAAGGTTTATTTATTTAGTGCGACCTATTTTCACATCGGATTAGAATGGAATTAATCTCAAAGCTCTCGAAAAATAAATTACTCAATGAACTGACCTTTTTTGCTGACAATCGACAGTTGACACAGAGAAAAGAATCCATAATACGCAACCTGAAAGATCTAAGGCGGTAGGAACGTAAGTTTGTCAGGATTTCATCAGGACAGTAAAATTGGAATTTTAGGGATTTTTTAAGATCGTGACAAAGTTTAAGATGACACTTGTTACATTATATTAAACTCACACATTTTTGCTACCATACCAAGCGATTTGATTCACATGAATTTCCTCTAAAAATAGTTACCTTGTACAAGATTAGTTTTACTAACAATTACTACTCGGTAGAAAAGTGAGTTGATTATTGACCACGGCCGTAACTAATCGTATTGAAGTGATAGACTACCTAACGTTTCCATCTGATTTTAAAATTCATTTTTTTTTCTTTTAAATTCTCATTAACAATGTAAACTGAAGGCCTAAACATCTTGCATAAAAATTACATAAAATATAATGTAAAATTCTCGTGAAAAGCAAGTATACTGCCAATTCAATAATGCTAACACCTAATTTAAAATAACAGAACATTTCTTTAACCTTTATTAGTGTTGTTACACATCAATGTTACTATATTACACTCTTTACGAAACAACGAAGCTGAAACTTAACCGTGTGATACGGATTATT